TTGTTGTTGTTATCACAATGTTTCGGACATTGTGCACTCTGGCCTTCATCAGGTGTATGTTAACCCAGGTAACCTACAGGGAATTCCAAACTGAACCTTTTATTTAATCTATTCTTTCAGTGCTGTCAAGCTTTGTGAAACTGTTTTACACATGACATCACTTATATGATATACATACATTTGAATTTGAGATGTAGCAGTCTTTGCCCAAAAAAATGTCAGTATATAGCCAACAAAATGTTGTCAATCATACTGACAAAATTTAAGTTATGATAATGATGGAAACACACTGTAATAATTATTACAATATCTATCACGGGGAATGGTGTAGTCGGGTACTTTTTGCATTCAGAACTGTCACAACCATTGCAAGAGAGTTCTAGAAAAAGCAGTGTTTGCTATGCACAAGTGGCCCAGGCCAAGATTGAAATCAAACAACTTGGATCCCAAGAGTACTGGAAGATTTCCAACCAAATTATGAATAGTGCCAAATCATCAGTACCTACTATCATAAATAACCTTGAGGTCATCTCATTCTTGTCAGATAAGGCAAAGCTCTTCGTTACAATTTTGCCTCTAACTCAGCATTAGATGTCAAAGGCTTCCTCCATTTCACTGAGCACAATCTCAGTAATATTTTTATCACAGCCTGTGAAGTCTCAAGACTTATCAAAAGTCTTGACCCTAAAAAGGCTACCAGTCCAGATGTAATTCCAGTGGTTGTCCTTAAGAATATTAACTCTAAGCTATCCCTGATCTTAGTGAAATTATTTAACCGAAGGAGTAATCTTTCTCAAGTTTGGGGAAGATATCAAGTGTTTGCTCTGTCTTTAAGAATGTGGGTGATTGCTCATCCCTGTCTCAGTATAGAAGCATGAGCCTTCTCTGTGTTATAAGCAAACTTTTGAGGCTATAATCAACAAGAAGCTTGTTGATCACCGCAGTAGGGATAATCGACCAATAAGAAGTACGGATTTTGATCAATGCTGCCCACTGCTGACAATCATTATTCACAGAATCACTAGACAACAAATACATCTCAAAGACAATAGTATTAGATATTTCAAAGGTCTTTGAAAAGGTGTGGCATAGAGGGTTACTGCATAAGCTCCCTAGCTATGGAATCACTGGATAAGTCTTCTCAATTATCAAGTCCTTCCTAACAACTAGGTCCCTGAAGGTAGTTGTTAACAGCTAGTCTTCTGATGACCAAGTGATCAATGCAGATGTCCCTCAAGGTTTGCTTCTCCAACCCTCTTTCTACTTTACATAATTGATCTGCTAAGAGTATATGCCAATCATTTGTGAATATCTTTGCTGATGATACAACAGTATATGGCTGTACTTCCAAAACTCTTGATGATCAGGCAGCTGATCTCTCTTCTGACCAAGCTTTAGTAGCTCAATGGGAGAAAAACTGGCTGGTCACATTCAATACCTTAAAAACCAAACTAGTGACCTCCCGTCATCACTGAGTGGAGTCTGACTTTTCCCCTATCACTATGAATGGGTGCTCTCTCAAGGAGGTCCCATCATTTGAGTGCTTATTAGGACTTAAAATCAATCCAGACCACAAATGGAGCTTGTACATACATGGCTAAAGATGCAGGAAAAATAGTCAGGTCCCTGTACCACTCTAGTAAGTACCTGACTCTTCCTGCTATCCTGTTATTTATATATATATATATATATATATATATATATATATATATGTATGTATGTATGTATGTGTGTGTGTCTGTGTGCATGTGTCTGTGTATGGTGCGGGCCATTTTTTTTATTCAATGAATATTTATTTGTATTTTTTTGTTTCTAGATGCAGCTGCTTTGACCCACTCCACTTGTGGGGCGTGTATAAAATATATGCGAACAGTGGAACTGACTAATTTTAACCACCTTATGATCTGTTTGTTAGTATGAAAATTTTATGCTTTAAACATTTTTAGTAAGATATTACATTCATTTTTGTAAATATTACATTTTTAGGGATCTTACAATATATATATATATATATATATATATATATATATATATATATATATATATATATCACTTTAAACATTATTTTTAGTGAAGATACATAAAATGAGTAGATGGTCAATTTATTTTTTTAAACACTATATTTATTTTCATCTGCCTGAATATTTGAGAAATCTTTTTAAATAAAAATATGCCCTTCAGCAGGATTCAATCTTATGTCCCCCTTTGCAGGAGCTGCCTTTTATGCACATCCTCGTTGTTCAGATTCCTGAAAGTTCAAAACGTCTCAATTTCATAGTCTATAGTGTAAACAGTCACTGAATTTGCATGATTTTTAACCTCTTCAAAAAAATTACCCGTGGATAGTGCAACCCCCCCATCCCACTTTTTTTTTTGCATAAAAAACTGATCATAAAATTCACACTATACTATATATATATATATACTATACTATATATATTCACATATATATACTATATTCACATATATATATATTCTATATTCTATATATACGTGATCATATTTAAACAGAACGCTGATCTGTATAAAATTTCAGTTATCTGTCTGAATTAGTTGGGCTCTTATGTCCATCATCTTTTGTGTTAAATTGTTATAAGTTATAATGTTAATTATGTTTAAATGAAAATGTCCATGAAGATGGTCTTAAATAGACCGAAACGTCCGACGTCGACTTTATTTTAACATTAATAATGCATATTCAGAATTTTGTTTTTTTCTGTATTTTTCTTTCATACTGTCGGATTTATATCCATATATTTGCTTACATATTCACATATATATACTATATTCACATATATATACTATACTATATATATTCACATATATATACTATACTATATATATATATAAGTAATTTCTGTTGTATTATACTAATGGTTAATTGGTGACCAGTAAAGGTTATGTTTCAAATTATTCTAGTGGCTATTGAGTAGAAATAATTGTAGATCTGAATGCAGTTATTTGTAGTTATTTTATAATGTTAAATTTTTTAATCATTATTTATTATCAATTACTTAATTATTTGTTTCTGCTTATTCTTATTACACTAACTTGTGTTTTATGTGTGCATTTGGAGTTTGTTAATTTGTTTGTTCATTTATTTAGATTTTTTGTTTACTTTATTAATTTTTTTTGAGAGTTGCTTATCTTATTTGTTTTGTTTAATGTATTGGCCTTGTCTAAAGTGTGCTACATTATCTGTGCTGTATTTAGTACATAAATTTGTATTTTTCATGCAAATATATGCACTATATATAAACAGTATAAAATAGCTACAAATAACTACATCTGCATCTACAATTATTTCTACTCTAGAATAATTTGAAACATAACCATTATCACCCAATCAATAACCACCAGTGTAATACAACAGACCTTACTACCAATAATGCACTATTGACCAGTATATATAAATAGTCGAGCCAAAACACAACAAACATGGCCTAAAGATTGCATTCAAGCATGAATCAAACTGTCACCACTTGATGTTGATTTCAGTGTTTACTTATATATATATATATATATATATATATATATATATATATATATATATATATATATGTGTGTGTGTATATATATTTTTTTTTTTTAAGCATTTCACCCCTGGCAAGGCAGGAAGCCACTAGCATGTAAGGGGTTGCAGATAGCAATGATAGAGGAGAGGATGAGGACAAGGATAGTGGATAGATCAAGGCAACTGGAGATGTCGATTGACATTATATTTGAATAGTTGGAGATTAAAGCTATCAGGGAAACAGGAGTAGGGAAGGGAGTTCCACAGGTGAGAGGTGTGAGACATGAAGCTATTGGAGTAGAAGAGACGGCTACATTTAAGAGTTTCAACAGTGAAAGGGTGAGAGCGTGATGCCAGCCTCGTAGGACGCTTGAATTCACGAAGTCTTGGAACCTGCGAAAGCAGCTCATCGAAGCAATTACCATGAAAGTATTTGTGAAAAAGACAGAGAGAGGCAACAGCATGTCTGTGACAGTGCGACTGCAGATGAGATGCCAGATCAGGGCCAATTACATTGCATATCTGTCTCTGGATCTTATCAAGAACCTTGAGGCAAACAGAAGGGGCTCTAGACCATATATGGCAGCAATACTTCATGCAAGGGCAAATGGTTGATTTGTAGATTTGAAGGATTGACTCCGGGGAGAAAAATTTCCTGGCATGGCACAGGCAGCCAACTTTCCTTGTGGTGGACGAAGCAATTGACTCAATGTATTTGTTCCATCTCAGGTCAGTATACAATGTGAGACCGAGCAGCCACAGTAAGGTGCTCTCAGGAAGTTGAGCATCAGACATTCTAATGTGGGGGGCAGGGAAGGTTTTCTGTGGTGATTAATAGAGAGCAGTTTTGTTTTGGTGGCGTTAAAATTAACCAGCCAATTATGGCTCCAGTTCACAACCGATTGGAGGTCCTTTTCAAGATGAATAGCCAGATTAGTTTTGTCAACGACACTAGATTTGTTTTTGAGGCAGTAAATTGTAGCGTCATCCACATAGATGCCCACCTGGCATGTCGATGGTTGGACATTGCAGTGCAGGCATTGCTGGTCGAGGTATATATATATATATATAACTTTAAAAATCAGGAGGTCAGTTGAATACGCAATCTTGGTTTTGACCTTACAGTCTGATCAGGCAATTTTTTATCAACTGACAGGTTAGTTGATAAAAAATTGTCTGATGTGACCGTAAAGTCAAAACCAAAGTCGTATATTCAACTGACCTCCTGATTTTTAAAGTTAAAATCTTACATGTTATTCTTATTTTATTTTTTCAAACATGTATTGAGCACTTTTAATACTACTGTTTCCTGGTCAGTTTCAACTCTGACCATTTTATGTATATATATATATATATATAGATAGATAGATAATTTTATCTACTATCCTTAATAGAGTTCAATGTGCCTGAAAATCAATGTAATTATATGAACAAGAATTTCATTTCTTCAACTTGTGAGCATTTAAGACACTATTTCATACTAGGCTTACGATCATATCATGTTAAAACACTAGTTCCCATACAATCACCAAAGTTAAGCAACATCGAGTCTGGTCAGTACCTAGATGGGTGACCACTTGGGTATACCATGGGCTGTAAGCTTGGATGTGCAGATGGTGTAATGGATAATGGCTCAGAATTGTTAATCAAAGAGCCAGGTTCCAATTCCCTTGGGTTCGTTATATTCACTTACATGCAAATACCATTAGGAAAAGTACATATCTACCTTTTCTCCCCACAGCTATGGGTTAATCAGTAAGACTTGCATCACTAAGTCATTCTTATATTACAATAATCTTACAATCTAAAAATATTTTGGAAAAGTACAAATCCACCTTTTCTCCCCACAGCTATGGGTTAATCAGTAAGACTTGTATCACTAAGTCATTCTTATATTACAATAATCTTACAATCTAAAAATATTTTGGAAAAGTACAAATCTACCTTTTCTCCCCACAGTTATGGGTTAATCAGTAAGACTTGTATCACTAAGTCATTATTATATTACAATAATCTTACAATCTAAAAATATTTTTACTTTAAATAACCTGCAAAAAGGTTGATAAGCCAAAGAAAACAAATCCATCAAATGAAACCTTTTTGTTTTTCTGATTGAACCACTAAATACCTTTGTATTAGCCTCTTACCCATAATATCAGAGAATATTTAGCTATATTTTTAAGTGCATTCTCTTGGCTGGTAAATATGCTAATTCCCTGTTTAATGTCGGTAGAGAAAGTTGTTTTCGTTTTATGAATTTAGATCCATGGCTCTCAAACACCCCATTGGAATTCTTAATGCTCTTGAAAATATGTTTGAACACCTAAAGAGTTTTTATGATGATAAAGTTTAGTATGAATAAGCCATAACAAGTTTTCAGAACATCTTTAAATGTTTGAGGATGGATCAAGCAATGTTATTACTCAAAATTAAGTCGCAGGTATCTATTTTTTCATATCTATTTATCAATTTTGTCTATCTCGGTTTGTTCATTATTTATCTATCTATTACTCTGTTCATATTTATCTGTCTGTCGGTCTGTTCATATATATATCTATCAAGCTGCCATTATTTTCAGATCTATCTATCGCTGTTTATATTTATCTTCCTGTCTATCCCTTTCTATTCATATATGTCTAGCAATCTATCTATCATTCTTTTTATATCTATCTTTATATATATCCCTGTATATCTATCTATTCATATCTGTCTATCTATCTATTCATATCTGTCTCTATCTATCTATCTATCTATCTATATATATATATATATATATATATATATATATGTCCCTGTATATTCATATCATATCTATCTATCTATCTATCTATCTATCTATATATATATATCTGTCCCTGTATATTCATATTATCTATCTATCTATCTATCTATCTATCTATCTAGCTATATATATATATATATATATATATATATATATATATATATATATCTGTCCCTGTATATTCATATTATCTATCTATCTATATATATATATATATATATATATATATATATATATATATATATCTGTCCCTGTATATTCATATCTATCTATCTATCTATCTATTATCTATCTATGTTTGTTGTCTGTCTGTCTATTTATCTGTCCCTGCATATTCATATCTATCTATCTATCTATCTATCTATCTATATATTAATATCTATATATCTATCTTTTGTCTGTCTGTCACTCTCTCTCTATCTATCTATCTATCAAACAGGGGAGGGAAACGAAAGAGAAGTCAGTGAAATGAATGACTCTCAGTTTTGAGTGTTTTTTCTTTATATTAATCTTTTGTTTAATGATAGATGGCTGCATCCTCATATCTGTCTCAGTCGTCAGTTTGTTAGTTCTTAAAATAATACAGTGCATTATTTGTTTTTATAAGGATTTCAAGTATTTTTTAGCAATTTTATTGTTAACATAATGCTGCAATAAAAAATCTACTTCTAAAAACTAATTTTTGATTATTATTTTTGTTTAATTAATTATTTTCAAACTAATTTTCCTTCTCACGGACCTCTTAAAGCAATATGTTAACCACCCATATAGTGGTCTTAAGACCACATTTTGAGAATAACCAGTTGGAGAAATTATGCAGATTTGTTAATCTGAGTTCCACTTTATATTGTTGCTTTCCTATGTTTCTTATCTGTGTATGTGTGTGTGTGTGTCAGTGAGCACATGTGCTAAATGGGTTAATATCAAGGAGACCTTTTGACAGCTGGTCTGAATTTCTTGGTAAGGTAGGCAATAAATCAGATTTTAGGTTTGATCTATAGTTTTTCCAACATATAGTTCATGTTAAACTTCTTTTATAAAATACATTTACTTTATGTAGGATTTCCAGGCAAGTCTGTTGCATTGACTTTTACACAAATGCTCTTGGGAATCATTCTCTTCTCCCTAGTCTTGGATGAAATATCAGAGTACACTTGATTTGCTAGCTTTGGGTCACAACCAGTCTAAGAGAAAGAAAATTCTTAATTCCAAACCATGGAGAAGGCAATGGGAAAGCACTTGAGTATTTTCCCCCCAAATTCATGGCAGTTCTCAGATAATAAATAAAAGAAATCTGTGGAGAGACATGATTGTCTACATCCTAAAAGAACATGGCATTAAAAAAAATATTAATTATAGTGTTCAAGGTGTCCCCCAAAAATTGACATAAATTTGTAGTCTAGTAGTATAGCTAATTCACACTCAAATGACCTCAAATTTTAACAAAATGTGTAAAAGCTAAGTTGACTGTTGACTTATCTCAATGAGAATCTACTAGGAAGATGGATCAGGTATGCCAGTGATAATGACAATGTGCTGTTGAAATGGCCACCACACTCACCTGACCTTTTGATTTTTTTTTCTATGGGTCTATGTGAAAGGATAGGTCTATAATCCCCCTCTTCCTACAAGTTTAGAGGAACATAAGCAGAGAATCATTTAGACACTGGAGAATGTTACAAAAGACATGCTGCAGCATGTTTGGCAGGAGCTGGGCTACCAACCTGATGTGTGTTGTGTCACAGGTGGTGCACATATTGAACATTTGTGAAATTAGTTATAAAATCTCCATCCCTTTGAATATCTTGTTCAGATTTTGATAAATAAATCTTTTATTGTTCAATATGAAGCCTATTTAATTTTGTTTGCTTCAAACAAGTATTTACACAAATATTCACATTTTAAATGATGCCAATTTTTGAGGGGGTGACACCCTGTATAATAAATCAATGCTCTTCAAGTAGTAACAATGCTTCTTCTCGAGCTGTCATTTAACTTTAATGTTATTGTTATTAATTATAGTGTATAAGGAATAAACAGAATAGCCTTCTATGAACTGAGTTTAAATTCTTGGTTGGTCTGTTGTGCTCACTTACACACAAGTGCTTTTTGGGAAAGGCATAAATTTATGGAAGGTCAAGTGGGTGAAAATTTTGCCTTGTAAAACATACTCAACTTTCAAACAGAAAGGAAAAAAGTCAAACAAATAAAGTGTAAATCCAAAATTTTTATATTCCAAAATTTGTTGTGGTGATTTATAAAATTTGTTTCTTTTGAGTCCAGTTTATTCTTATGAGTACAATTTTTGTACAACATAAAATGAATTAGACACAGGTAGGTTTCTTACTGATTCCTATTGTTAATACCTCTCGGACTGTTGCATCTGGCTGCTACTAAGACTACCACACAGATTCCTTCCTTGATATGTAGTCCTTTATTTATCCCAAGTAGAAACCAAAAGTTGCAAATATTTAATAGACAAATGTTCAGCAAAAGTTGGAAAATGTGTTACTTGAAGGGTACAAAATTTTTAGTAACTTTATTACTATATAACTTTAGAAACTGAAACTTTTCAGATTAATAATTTGATAGAAACACTTGTTAAAATTTCACAGTTTTCCTATTTGAATTTTCTAATGAATCTTAAGCCTTTAACCCCTGTGTTCTTGAACAATTTTAAACCTTCTGCCTGAGCTCCTGAGTCAAAATTCACAAATAATTGATATGTAATGTTTCACAGTAGATATAGAAATAGTTACAAGTGTTTACCCACTGTTCAACCATTGGCTGGGCATTAAGTCATTTTTCTCTACCATGGTTCAACCGGTCATTGGACATTAAATCATTTTTCTCTACCTCTGGTAAAGCGGAGGTCATTACATCATTTTTCTCTACCACTGGTAAAGCAGTCGTCATTACATAATTTTTCTCTACCACCAGTAAAGCGGAGGTCATTACATCATTTATCTCTACCACCAGTAAACCAGTGGTCAGGGCTCAAAGGTTAATTACTAAATTAATAATGAATAAGCTCATGGTAAGTTCTATGACAGTAAATTGTCTGTAGAAATTCCACAATCACATCGTTAAATATTTGAGCTTAACAACTTTAACAAAATATTGCAATAACAATCATAAATATGAATGCTGGTCATTATTTTAAGAAGTAAGGGGGTACAAATGAAAATATTTTAAATTAACAACTTTTTCCATTTCCCTGAAACAACTGTTAAACATTTCTATCTTTCTTTCTTGCTTTCATTTTCTCACTGAAACCAAGTAGTATCTCTGATGTGTCTTTTCTGTCTTTCCACACAATCAAAACAGAATAATCAATTATTTAATGTAGAATAATCCATTATTTAATGTGTTGTCAGGAGATGTTAAACAGTTCTATCTTCTCTTCTCTCTTTCATTTTCCCACTGAAACCAAGTAGTGTTTGTATGTCTTTTCCATCTTTTCACATGATCAGAACAGAATAGTTCATTATTTATGATGTATTGGCAGGGAGTAATGGCCATGCTAACTAAGGAAGGGACAAGCAGAATTATAATCAGATGATTTAAATTCTGTGTAAATTTTGTCTTCCACTTTAAATTGTAAGCTAATTAAATTTTATTTTAAAATTGATATTCGTTCAGTCGAAATATTGGATCTTATTAATACTTTTCAATAAAATGTGATTTTTACTTTATCTGAAACTGATTAACAGATGCTCTAATAATGCATCTGCTATAATTTGAATGTGTCTAATTTATTAATTTTTCCAAATCTTAATTTATACAGATGTTTAAGTTTTTCCTTGCAGGTATTACAA